ATGCGACTAAAATCAGCTGTTCTAAACTTCCTCATTGGAAGTCACGAAAAAGCGGTGGGTTTCTTCGAGAAGTTGTTGATCATTTAATTACCAAGAGTCTTTCGTCTTTGTGTAAGTGTTATTGAAGCGTTTGGCCTAGTAGATTGTATATCAGTATACCCTTCCAGGCTCTGAAGAAGGCGATACTGCCGAAACGTCAGCTAGCGTTGTATTGTATTGTGTTTTTCTATGGAAGTAAATGTATGCTGTTTAAAAACCTCACGATTGCTGAACAAGAAAACGACGCACTCAATATTTTCTTCTATTCTTAACTTTACAGAGACTTCTGCAAAGACATTTGAGTGAGTTCACCTTCATCTGAGCGATGCTTCACTCCAGTGGATTCGACTCTAGTCATTGCGGATCTAAAGAAGCTGAAGGCACTGAGAAGTGACCCAAAATGAAGAAAATTATACTATCTCGAGTAACCTTAGCAATAATAAACTGCAAAAGAAATCATCTACAAAAATGCATTTGTAAAAATTATTACAACTAGCCACTAGTATGAATAAAAAATTATTGTACATAAAACCCGCAAACCACAGAGTGGGATTTAAAGAGAAAATGTTAGACTATCTTTCGCAAAAACCACAAATACCCAATTAAATTTGCGTTGAGGTCTTAAAGGAAGACATTCTGAAACACATCGCAGTGCAGAGAAATAGTTACGGGTACTTTTTGCATAGAAAAACATTCAGAAAGTGTTCTGAAGAACAAAAGATTCTGAGAAATTCGACACAGTAGCGCCGTATTATGGAGTAGTGCAACGGCGTCGCCATCGTCCATTACACGATCTCGTCGTCGGTCAGCCGTTGTCTTTCAGCGTACGGTGGCGGTGGCGGAAACGACGAAAACGCTGACGATGTTGACGTAGAGAGAGCAGAACGATATGATGGCAATAAGCTTGAAATGAAAAGTATAGTGTAAGGACAAACAGCACAAAAACATAGTCAATATCTTAGAAACCGACTTTTGTTAGAACTCGGAAGCAGTAAGTAATAAGCTATAATATAGAAAAGGATAAAGCTGCCGGCGTTGATCGATCCTTGAGGGTTGCTCCATGCATTCGATTTCATTAAGCTTCGTTAGAGGTGAATGAATGCGTATTTGGCTTATACATCGACTCGCGGTGGCCTACCGATATATCGGGCCAGTGCAGCTATCCTCCCAAGCGGTGCAAAACCCATGTGTATTGTAGGGCGAATCTAACCACTGCACTACACGCGCCCCAAACAACAACATACAATAACAAATATTGAAAAATATAGTCAGTAATAAACGCCGAAGTCAAATGATGGCAAATAATCTGTACTATTTGTCATTCGCATTTGAACTGATTTACGTAAACTTGTTCATTTTTATCACTGATATTTAAAGAATGGCTCATTTCAACTTATCACCTCTGATAGAAATCGCCTGAACCTTGTAGACGATGAAGAACAACCGCCTACTTTTTAATAAACAAAGAATCGTCTTTCGAATTTTCTATTGAATATTTTTCGCTTCTTTTCTTCTAAGGTTCTCCTCTTGCACTGCGGAAACGTCGTAGGTCAAAATAATTCGTTTGCAATGCTAATTTTACAATATTATTTGAAAGAAGAGACTGTGAGAGCCTAAAAACTTTAGACCCTAATTCTTTCCAGAAACTTTCTAAATCTTAGAAGTCCAATTAAAACAAACAACGCTTGAAACTCATTTGAAACTCATAAAGAAGAAACGTTTGAACCGTACTTTACTCGGAGACTATGGAAACATTGCAACACTTTTAGCGTTCACGGATCATCCAGAGAAACCTACCTAAATTTCCTAGTAAGCTCTTCGTTAAATATCAGAATTATGTAGGAAAATGTTGTATATAGCTTCATTTGTACATTACTCTTCCTCTACAGAACGATGAAACTGTCTGTGTGACGAGGAGGATCTGCTTCATAAACTTCTCATTTAAGCTTTTGCACGAGCTTTGAAAAGAAATTTACCCACAGATTTGCTCCCCGATCAGCTGATGGAAAGAGTTCAACATTGGCTGTTTTCGATTAATAACTGCCATCGGTATCATACCAAGGAGTGAACGTCTACGAATGGCGCTCCATGGAATTGTAACATTGCGCCAATTGATGGAAGTTGCTACCAGTTGCATAATTAGGTGTCATGAATACTAAGGGTGCGTGTAACGTAGTGGTTAGAGGTACCCTGCAAGACACATGGAGTCGATCCCGCGTCCCAGACTCACCAAGCTGCCTTCGACGTCGTCGAACTGGTGCCAAACTTATCCGGGAGGATAGCAGCACCGACTCGATGCAACGGTAAGCCACCACGACAAATATTATACAGGCCACATATGCATTCAATCACCTCCAACGATGCTCAATGAAATCGAGTGCACCGTGCTTGCACTTTTTCTAAGGGAGTGATCAACGCGAACAGTTTTATCTTTCAAGCTTTTAATAAGTACAAAAATATATATTCTCACCCAATATTTGATGAAATCGCGCTAATATTGGAGTGTCGCTCACTATATGACGATGGACGACATGTCATACCCCTTAAGTAAACGAGCACTGATGAGCTAAAATCAAGTCAATAATTCGACCGATCAATACTTATGCTTATTACAATCACTACAGACAGCTTTTCTTGAAAAAAAAAAACATACTAAAACGGTGTATTATATCATAAAGTACAATATTTCTGAACAAACAAGACGTTTTTCTATTAAGAGTGATATATTTTTCATTCAAGGATGACAAATGACTTTTGTCTTAGACTTTCTAAAATAACAACTAGTAGAAAAAAGTCGACGACCTGTAATACAACTACGTTTAGACTTACAAAAACTCGGTAAAATAAGCAAAGGAGGATACCTAAAGAAATTGGACGCTTGGGATTTTTTTGATGACAGATGACGTCAGAATTTTAAAACTGCGCAATTGAATTTTGAAAAAAAATTTATTTCAAATGTGTCGTTTTCTTGTTCAACAATCGCGAGGTTTTTAAACAGCATACATTTACTTCCATAAAAACACAATACAATACAACGCTAGCTGACGTTTCGGCAGTATCGCCTTCTTCAGAGCCTGGAAGGGTATACTGATATACAATCTACTAGGCCAAACGCTTCAATAACACTTACACAAAGACGAAAGACTCTTTGGTAATTACACGATCAACAACTTCTCGAAAAACCCCCCGCTTTTTCGTGACTTCCAATAAGGAAGTTTAGAACAGCTGATTATAGTCGCATGTGGTTGACGACTGCACCATCCCACATCAAAAGTCAATGCGAACATACGAGATCAGGTCGCGTATGACCTCCGGACATTCGTCCCTGCTATTCATTGTAGGGTTTTTGGCATTAATCCAAAAAGCCTCAAGAAGTTTTCGCGCTGGTGTTTTGGACAAATTTAGAAGGAGAACGACGCGTCCACGCAAAACACTTGGCCAAAACAAAATCCCGTTTATGTTGCCTTTTATAAGCGATGAAGTAAGCGCAGCTATAAAACGATGCTTAAGAAGGGCAGGTCTAGAGGAATCGGTAGCGATAGTTGAAATACCACCTGCTACTCTACGTCGTCAATTAGTTCGTAACCGCCTGTATGACCGTCTGTGTGAAACAACAAATTGCGTAATTTGCCCTTACGGCAGAGACGGTGATTGCATGAGTTCAGGTACGATATACCTGATCTCTTGTAATAATTGCGGAGATGAATATATTGGCGAAACGGGCAGACCTTTGTGTATCCGTATAAAAGAACAGCTAGATGGCAAACGAAAACTAAGACGAAGCACCCCACTAGGCACGCATAGGATACAAAAGCATAGCGGAGACGATTTTGAAGTAAAAGTCAATATCCTTGCACAGGAGTCCAAAACACCAGCGCGAAAACTCCTTGAGGCTTTTNAAACACTTGGCCAAAACAAAATCCCGTTTATGTTGCCTTTTATAAGCGATGAAGTAAGCGCAGCTATAAAACGATGCTTAAGAAGGGCAGGTCTAGAGGAATCGGTAGCGATAGTTGAAATACCACCTGCTACTCTACGTCGTCAATTAGTTCGTAACCGCCTGTATGACCGTCTGTGTGAAACAACAAATTGCGTAATTTGCCCTTACGGCAGAGACGGTGATTGCATGAGTTCAGGTACGATATACCTGATCTCTTGTAATAATTGCGGAGATGAATATATTGGCGAAACGGGCAGACCTTTGTGTATCCGTATAAAAGAACAGCTAGATGGCAAACGAAAACTAAGACGAAGCACCCCACTAGGCACGCATAGGATACAAAAGCATAGCGGAGACGATTTTGAAGTAAAAGTCAATATCCTTGCACAGGAGTCCAAAACACCAGCGCGAAAACTCCTTGAGGCTTTTTGGATCAATGCCAAAAACCCTACAATGAATAGCAGGGATGAATGCCCGGAGGTCATACGCGACCTAATCCCGTACGTTCGCATCGATTTTTGATGTGGGATGGTGCAGTCGTCAACCACATGCGACTATAATCAGCTGTTCTAAACTTCCTCATTGGAAGTCACGAAAAAGCGGTGGGTTTTTTCGAGAAGTTGTTCATCGTGTAATTACCAAAGAGTCTTTCGTCTTTTCGTAGGTGTTATTGAAGCGTTTGGCCTAGTAGATTGTATATCAGCATACCCTTCCAGGCTCTGAAGAAGGCGATACTGCCGAAACGTCAGCTAGCGTTGTATTGTATCGTGTTTTTCTATGGAAGCAAATGTATGCTGTTTAAAAACCTCGCGACTGCCGAACAAGAAAACGACACATTCATATTCCAATGCCGAGGTTTATTTCAAATGATATTTTTGTATGCGATGATGACGTCACGGATTAAAAATTTCTGCGATTCTTGTTAGTTTTTCCACATTTATCATCTTTATTGTTCTCAAAAGCAAGTACTGTATCTAAATGCTTTTAAGGTTTCATATAAAATGTAGACGTAATCTATTACTCACCTTTGATTTGACTTCGGCGGCATCCACATCATAAAATCGTAATTGGTAATGCATCCGGAATTGACTAGAGAAAACCTAAAAGAGTATTGTTAAACAAATATTGTTCATGGATAGCTGTCATTTGGCACTAAAGTATGCCACAATATCTGGAACGCTAACCATCCGTTTTGGTAACAAAACCGAAGTTAGGTGTTCCGGACTGAATCATAAGAAATGCTAAAGAGAAGACAAAAAACTCTTCCAGGTGAAGAACTACCGCAGAATGATTGGCGATGAACACTTTGATCACCTACCATCCAAAAGAATTTTACTCCATTCCTAAAATCTGACCGACCTTGGCTTTATTAGTCGACTCATAGTGAAGATACAACCAAGTGCCACTAGGACGAGAATGGCAATACCCAAGAGAAACGTCGCATGGTCTTCATGAACATCTAACGGTTCATTCAGAAGGACAGGAGGGTTATAAAACTGAAAAACTGATCAGTGATTTTCAGTAACGACAGAGTAGCCATTACATGTGTTACCGTGGTTTGCTAACCCGAATAAGACATATAGGACTGCATGCCTTTACCCATTTTGTGCTGTTAGATAACAAACGTTACCACCAACAGAAATGTTTTTCTGTTAATTACCTCTATGAAGTATTCCATTGGTAATGTTGTAAATTTAAATAGACGTCGTTTTTAGCGATAGATTTTATAGATAACCAGTCATCGTTTTTACAAAAACTGCAAGTTATCAAAGGAAAAAAAACCTGATAACCTACAGCGAACAGCTGGATACGATAGCGCATGAATAAGTGAATACATATAAATTTCAACTACAGTGATGCTGAGATATTCGTAAAACTGTTTACCACAGGTGTTTGCAAATAAGCAGGCACCTGTGAAGCAGTAGCACAAATCGTAATGTATTCACTTTTTATTTACAGCCTACTCTTTTTTCAATGAAAGTTATAATGTGAAATATAACTACAATGATGCTGAGATATGTGTTGTTGACGAATGTGGTGGTGAACGCATTAGCCTCCGAAAAGAGTAATAGCGGGTTCGATCCCCACCGCAGGCACTTGCGCTACGGAGTTTTGCAAATATCTCAGCATCACTGTAGTTATATTTCACATCATAACGTGTCGTGAAAAAAGGCAGTAAATAAAAAGGGAATACGTGTGGGTTTTACACCTTTATAGCCCAGGGTTTCAGTTTGTAACAAGTAGATAATTTAAAATGATATTGTTCTAGCTGATGTATCTCTCAAGTGAATACCTTATACTCAACCTCAAATTTCAGCGCATTAATTGGGAGATTGTGGTCCTAGCCAGTGCGGCCTACTCTGTAAGAGCACTGATTTTTAAAAAAGATTTTGCTTACATCATAGACGGCACGCTTTGTTTTTCTAAAAAAGCTTCAAAATGTCACTATTGAGCGACTTTTCAATAATTCTATGTTCACAGGATCGAAAGCACTCACAATGGAGCCGTTGTCGTCTTGTGTTAAGAGTTCAACATCACAGAACGGCACCTGGAACAATCATAATCAAGTATGTCTCGTTACTAACACACCAAAGCTAAACTTTTATAAAACTTCCAGTCCACGTATTCCTAATGGACTTAGGATGAATCTATAAATATCTACGATAGAATAAATGCAGCTTAATAAGTCGCTGCTTTCTTGATGAGCAAGCATGGGGTTGTTATTACACTATTCATTCACAATAGATGGTGCTTCGGCAGCTTTTTTATTACGATCACTCAATCTTCTTCGAATCCGACGCTTTTTGTCTGGTAGCTTAGAGTCCTTCTCCTTAGGTATCAAGTAGTAATGTATCGAGCTAGAGGTGCTTCTTCGATTTGTAAAACCGTGAACAATGTATTTGATGTTTCCACTTGGAATCGCATCTAATAGCAAATCTATGCTACTGCATGATGACAGCCAGTAATCCTTGTAAATGCTTAATCATCTTGTGGTGACAGGCAGTAGTGTTTCTGGATATGTATTGTGGATGACTCAATTTCTGGTAGGAGCACTGAATCTACGGAGAGCTTCGGCTACATTTCCAGCCGGAAATTAGAAATCCTTCGACAGAGCAGATTCTAGAGATCAGATCGAATGGTTCTAAAGACTAGGAACAGTAGAGGTAATGGGCTTCGCACGAAAAGTACTATTTTCCTTATATCCCTCGAGATGTCAGTGTCTAGTAAAGAGCTTTGCGTTGCGAAATCGACGAGTGGGAATTTTGATGGTACCGTTTAATGGTATTATACGATTAACTGGTTCCGAGGTCATGATGAGTTCAACCGATTGAGCATGATAAGTCTGCTAGTTTAAAAGAATAAAAGAAGTAAATAAACGTTACATTGGTTAACAATGACAAATTGCGCAAGCCATAGATTTAACCAGGGTCGACTAAGCAAACCGTTGTTTTCTTTGCCTTCAACTTCTTTCTGTTTTGGGTTTTTTTACAAAAAAGTGTGCATAAATTGAATAACCATCTGCATTTTTATTTTAATTGGGACAAATTCTTTCAAGCGTAAATTTACAGAAAAAGAGTAAGTGCCGAAGACCTTAGTTATTCGTGGATGCATTTATTAAGAGTTAAAAACTTGTAGTAATGCTTCTGCTTCTCAATAATGAATAAACATCTTGCAAAGTCCCTTGGCTTACGATTTCTATTGAGACCCTCTTGAAATGTAAGCCGGTTCAATGGCAAAGTATTTTTATAACGAAAACTGAAGACAATTTTGTCATTCATTAATTTTACTCTCTAAGCAAGAGATTTCCTTGAGCTCATTCAAAATCCCTGAATTGTTTTTTGTTTGCGAAATAAATTTAACAGCTGATATTCGTTTTTAATATTTCAGCCCGATCAAGAAACATCAAAACCGCAATGACTCCTAAGCAATAACTTTTGTCGCAGCACAAAACCCTCTCAGAGCCATAAGGTAGATTAAGATAGCATCCCGACGTCACAACTGTCACTGAAGCTCCGGTCATTCGTCCACTTTCGGCTAAGTGTTCTTCAATGGCTAGCCAAGCCATGGTTGCAAGGCAGAGCCTTATGGCCTCAAAACGATACCGTCTTCAAGATCTTACGAACATTCACATGATAAAAAAACTAATAGCTGTCAAATGCTAAGTATGAGCTCGGACTGGGAAGTAAAGCAGGAGAACTTATCATTCTTACTTACTTCACACGCCCTAGCACCACATATTCTGTAGGGATCCCCAGCTTTTCGGAACCACGGGCAGTGCTCCGATCTCAGTGAGTCTGGGGTATGCATTCCGAGTTCGAAACGATGATGAGTTATGTTGGTCCAGCGTGAGGTCAAGCCATGGCCTTACGCGCATCACTGCGACTAGGCAATCCAGGCCCAGAAATGGAAAATTATGAAAGATGAAAACAGTAGTATGGGTGGATGAATGGATAATCGCGATGAACAAAACCAAGTAATTCTTCGTATTTTTGTTGAGCAAACGCGAGGTGTTATTATTCTTTATTCACGAATGAGCTGACGTTTCGGCGGATTTCGCCTTCCTCAGAGCCTGGAAAGGTCAAGTTGACAGCAATCTACTTGGCCAGACGCCTCCATAACCAAACAAAGAAACTCCAAACCAAGATTTCAATCACTTTGAACACAGCTTTGCACACTCACCGCTTTCTATGAGGTCTCCACTAAATATGTCACGTAGAGACTAACCGCACAGAAATCACGTGGAAGTATAATGTGCCCCACTCATCAGAATAGCAGTCTTATATACTGCCCTACATCACGCGTGATAATGAGGCATTCTTCCCTGCGGTTCATTTTCCGATTTCTGGAATTAATCCAGAGTGCCTCGAGAGTTTTTCGCGCCTGTGTTCTTGATTCGCGTGCAAGGATCGTGACACATACTTCAAAGTCCTCCCGTTATGACTCTAGGTCCTATGCGTGCCTAGCGGAGTATTTGGTCTATGTTTGCCGGCTAGGTGTTCTTTTATGCGGACACAGAGGGGTCTGCCCGTTTCGCCAATGTATTCGTCACCGTACGTCTTACAGGAGATCAGATAAACTATACCCGAGCTCATGCAATCACCGTCTCTACCACTGGGGCAAATTATGCAGTTTTGAGTTGCACATAGACGGTCATATAGGCGGTTACGAACTAGCTGGCGCTTAAGATTACTCGGTGGTATTTCAACTACGCGTACCGAATTCTCTAAACCAGCCCTTCTTAAGCAGCGTTTTATANCAGAAATCACGTGGAAGTATAATGTGCCCCACTCATCAGAATAGCAGTCTTATATACTGCCCTACATCACGCGTGATAATGAGGCATTCTTCCCTGCGGTTCATTTTCCGATTTCTGGAATTAATCCAGAGTGCCTCGAGAGTTTTTCGCGCCTGTGTTCTTGATTCGCGTGCAAGGATCGTGACACATACTTCAAAGTCCTCCCGTTATGACTCTAGGTCCTATGCGTGCCTAGCGGAGTATTTGGTCTATGTTTGCCGGCTAGGTGTTCTTTTATGCGGACACAGAGGGGTCTGCCCGTTTCGCCAATGTATTCGTCACCGTACGTCTTACAGGAGATCAGATAAACTATACCCGAGCTCATGCAATCACCGTCTCTACCACTGGGGCAAATTATGCAGTTTTGAGTTGCACATAGACGGTCATATAGGCGGTTACGAACTAGCTGGCGCTTAAGATTACTCGGTGGTATTTCAACTACGCGTACCGAATTCTCTAAACCAGCCCTTCTTAAGCAGCGTTTTATAGCTGTAGTTATATCATTTGAGATAAAGGGTAGGATAAATTCCTATATACATACATTATACATTGGCGAAACGAGCAGACCCCTCTGTGTCCGCATAAAAGAACACCTAGCCGGCAAACATAGACCAAATACTCCGCTAGGCACGCATAGGACCTAGAGTCATAACGGGAGGACTTTGAAGTATGTGTCACGATCCTTGCACGCGAATCAAGAACACAGGCGCGAAAAACTCTCGAGGCACTCTGGATTAATTCCAGAAATCCGAAAATGAACCGCAGGGAAGAATGCCTCATTATCACGCGTGATGTAGGGCAGTATATAAGAGTGCTATTCTGATGAGTGGGGCACATTGTTTCTACGTGATTTCTGTGCGGTTGGTCTCTACGTGACATACTTAGTGGAGACCTCATAGAAAGCGGTGAGTGTGCAAAGCTGTGTTTAAAGTGATTGAAATCTTGGTTTGGAGTTTCTTTGTTTGGTTATGGAGGCGTCTGGCCAAGTAGATTGCTGTCAACTTGACCTTTCCAGGCTCTGAGGAAGGCGAAATCCGCCGAAACATCAGCTCATTCGTGAATAAAGAATAATAACACCTCGCGTTTGCTCAACAAAAAATACGAAGAATTACTTGATCAATGCCGAGGTTAATAGAAAGTCGGTCGTGGGAGTTACTGAAAAACAAGTAAACTTGAAAATGACATTAAAACAAAATACTGCAGTGAAAGACAAGAACATAGAACAAGTTAAAACAAAGAACCGATCACCTTAAATGTATTTCTTCCCCCTTGAGTACTAGTTACATGAGAAACCATACTAAGATTTTATGAAACTGGAAACTATGTAAACTTCTGTTGGATGATAAGAGGATAAAAAGGATAACGCTCTCGGCGTTCATCAATCCTTGAAAGATACAACATGCATTCGACCTCATTAAGCATCGTTGAAGGTGATTGAATGCATAACCGGCCTTTACAATGACTCACAGTGGCATACCGATGTATTGAACCAGTGTTGCTATCCTCCCAGACAAATCTGGTACCAATATGCCGACACTGTAGAGACAGATGGCTTGGTGAGCCGTGGGCGCGAAAATCGATTCCACGTGTGTGTCACAGTGGCGCCTCCAACCACTGCTCCACACGAGCCCTTTTTGTGTTAAATGATAGTAACCACTTATCGCTAAATCCTCAACTAACACAAAGCGAAGAGTACAGTTGAAATTTAAATACACTTATTTGGAACGGGTGTACAGCAACAATCAGTGGTGCTTTGCAATGCACATGTAATAATCGGTTTGATCGTTCGTCCTAGAGAAAACACGACCTCCTCCTTCCTTACTCGGAAAATTGGTACCAGAGATGCCTTGAAAGGTGAAACTCTAACATTGCACATTGGTAAGTCACTATAAACCAGAAAAAAAATGCATCAAATGAATTCTCGAATATCGTGAATGGAGTCCAATACAATGCAGCTCATTTAAAGATTGGCCGACGCCGAATGATTTCACTTCCATCGCCATCATCTATTTAGTGACAAAACTGCTAGGTAGGTTGAAGGAAGAGAAAATGGGGAACAGTTCACACTCTTTCTGGAAGGACTAGTAACATTCCTAACTACTAAATCAATGTCCTAGTTTCCATCTATGTATTGCCGCATCCGCAAAGCATTACAACAAATTTACTTATGTATAGTTACCCTGGTTGTATCGTTAAGCAGTAGAACCAATTGACAGCATGTCCGTCTGGTGAAGTTCAACTGACGTTCACAAAGATGCATCTTCTGAAATCTGCTACATTTCGGGAATTTATTTGTAAAATGAATGCTGAAAACGAAGCTACTTTAAGTCAGCAAACGCTTCTACTGTTGAGAATGCGCCAAGATACCTCTGTAGATGAAAAATAAACGAAGACAGAAGTATGCCCAAAAGGGAAAACAAGGGAAGACGCAAAAGATGAATGGAGCAGAAGAAAGTAAAAAGTAGAAAAGGAGAAGTCTGAAAATTTCATTGGGATATTTCATTATATTCACAAAATGTTGGCGACAATCGTTCATTTCTCTACAACTAACTGACTTTGGACTGATGAAAAGACAATTATGGACGAGTCATACGGTAATCGAAGCAGCTTGTGGCCGCGCCCGAGCGGCGATTCATACCACTTCGCTAAGTGATTTCCCATAACACCATTACTATGACATTTACCATTGGATCTCTCTAGAAACTCTAAATAGCATGTGAATTTGTACTTAATATAAGAAAATTTTCGCAGAGACGATTAAATTACAGCTTTTTCTCAAGTAGGAAAAACTACAAGGATTCAAAAATCCAACAATTTTATTAAAAATTATTGTACACCGAATGACTCTATTATTATGAAAAGCATAAAAAAAATAATTGTAACTATTAGAAAGTTTTTGATAGAACGAACAAACGAGAATGCGAAAACTCTGATGCCAGATGAGTTGCCATGGATGCAGTCGGAGGCATTTTGTAGTTCGCAAGGCTATATGATTTTATGGCCGTTTTTTACACTATAAACCTTTTTATTACAGATTGGCGGCCTACGGAGAAGTTTTAAAAGCACCGCTAAATCGATCGATACATATATTATACGTCCGGTCCTTAAATGTCGTTCTACTTTTACCGTCAATAGTGGTGATCACCCGCATTTCTAAGTCAGATTGAAAAACATTTTTATAATACTGGAAAAAATTCAATTTACATGCCATAAATTTTTAAGAATTAGAGAACGTTTTTCACAAAGTTAAGTAAAAGAAAGACAGACTAGGAAATCATTGATAGTGCTTTCACAAATGCACAATGAAAAAGGAGAGGAAGAAAAAAAGGGGTAGGGATGGAGAAAGGGTAAGGGGAGAAAAATTCTCTGGCCAGAAACGCCTGAAACTAAGAAAAATTAGCAAGATAGAACTTTTCTTACTGATATACTTCCAGATGCCGACGACAGTTGTCATTTGATTGGACACTTTGGTGATTTATATGTAAACAACAATGAAATCCGACAGACCAGTCCAAATCTATAAGGGATACAGTGAACGATATGTCTTTATAGTTAAATGGGTCTGTTGCGCAGCAGTAATGTTGCCGTTTAGCACACTAACGGCCTTGGTTTTACCTTTCCCTAGGACGACCAGGTCTTCCATCTTTTCGGGATAGTGGAAGTGGTACCAGACTTGTCGGGGAAACTCTCAGCGGTTCACAAGACCGTGGCCACTGCTGTCCCAAGATCGGTCACGATAATGAGAACCGATTCGATCAAATTTCAAAGAAAGTGGTTAACAATAATAAATATGTTGAAGCACTAGCCGAACCCACACATGAATTCGAAGTCCTTAATGGATGTGGGAAAACGAATTGGGTGAAAGAAGTGTTGGAAAGCACACAATATATATGAAAACGAATGGTGTAAAAAAAAGTAATAATAGTAAATATAAGTCGTATGAAATGCTGAGATATTTGCAAAACTCCGGGCCGCAGGTGTATGCAGGGGGCAACGAACACGCGCTGTTGTCCTTACCGGGGAGCAGCGCACTTCATCACTACACCATCCGGGTCCATCGTCTTGCCTGTCTCTCAACTAGTTCTATCGATCTTTTTGCCATCAGCAATCACCCGTCAACGGGATAGATCTGGGGAGCCTAAATCGGCATTGAACCCAGTTAAGCTGAGGCTTAGTTATAATCACAATCTTAACCCTTTTATTTACTGCCTTTTTCTTCTTAATGGCAGGGTATGTTGCGAAATATCTATCCCGCTAACGGCTGATTGCTGATGGCAAAAAGATCGATAGAACTAGCTGAGAGACAGGCAAGAACAAGGACCCGGATGGTGTAGTGGTGAAGTGCGCTGGTCCCCGGTAAGGACAACAGCGCGCGTTCGTTCCCTACTGCATGCACCTGCGGTCCGGAGTTTTGCAAATATCTCAGCATTTCATACGAGTTATATTTCGCAGCATACCCTACCATTAAGAAGAAAAAGGCAGTAAATAAAAGGGTTAAGATAGTAAATACAAGGTTATAAAGCGTACAGCGCAGTGGATAAAAGTGCTCATCAATGCATACGCAGTCGTTGGTTTTGTCCCATTCTCCGGTTCAAGTAAACCTCTGTTTTTTCGTAATGGGCAAACTAGACTTGCTTTGGTCGATAAGAGCAAGTACTTGATACATCAAAAATTTCCGCAATTAGTTATGAAAGCCACATATGCATTCTCTCACTCCTAAAGTGATGAGAATGGAGGAGAATGCATATCGCATTCGGAATGGACAGTTTAAGATATCTGTTTTGAAGTGAGCTCATTCTAAAATGGTAGACGATCAGTCAATGCTGTTATTAATATCGTTACACTTAGCCAAATGCTTGTGCAAACATTAGCAGAGCTGCAGATAAAACTTGAAGCTGAACTACTCACTGGAACCCTTCTGCAAAGTTTTTTTCCTGCAAAAAAAACTGCGCATCTTTTTCTCGCCAAGAAAAAAAAAAAGGAAGAAGAAAAACGGCCCGTTAACATGCCAATGGGTGAAATGTTAGAATCAATGCGACAACTTTAACTTTACATTCTTTTGAGAAATAACGCCTCTCATAAACCTATAGACAGAGATTAAACGAGGACACTTTTAACAAGAATTCAAACATAACGAAACAGCACCATAACGTCCAAAATTGTCGACCAAAACGACTTTGCAATTGGTCAGAAAATTTTTGAAGACAGTGGGTTGGTTGAAGAGACGGAAATGAAGAAAGGCGAAGACGATTTGATGTTTTCGACGATGAGTACTTGAAGAGGTTAAGTGAAGAAGTTCTATTCACGAAACGATTCTAGAACATAAGGAAAAACAAAGAATAGAAGTAGAAACTGTTTAATAAAACTGTTCACGAAGCACACTGGTTATATGTCATAGTGCAATAATACACGAATAATCACTTATCACCTAGCACCGGCCTGCTAACTCTCCCATGTCTCTGGGGTAGGTGAAATGTAGCAGGATTCGTCAAGGAAAAAAATTTTTCTATCCACAAAAAATGGCGAATTCGTGCTGAAGAGCAAAAATCTTCACTCGAAAAGCAAATAGGTACTTTTAAACACTCATCGCTTTACAAGTCACAATAGAATCACATTTTATCCACTGTCTATCCTATTTTCATGGCAGACTAAGCTAAGAAATATATTTGAGTTTTCAGCTTAACTGGATTCAATGCCGATTCTCCACAGATCAATCCTGTTGATGGGTGTTTGCTGATAGTGGCTGTAAAACACGACTGAGAGAAAGGCGAAACGAAAGATCTGCATGGTGTTGTGGTGAACGCGTTAACCACCTGAAAGGGTAATAACGTGTCCGACCTTCATCGAAGACACCTGCCGGAGTTTTCCAAATATCTCAGTATCATTGCATTCATCGTTTTGTTGCCTCTAATTCTTCCACTTATTACTGTAGACCAACCTCACAGAGTCTTACATGGGCCATGAATATGTCTGGCTCAAGTTAAAAAATTAACCTGAACAATGGCACGAGGTCAACTGTGATCAAAAGACACTCCTGCTTGCGGTTTGTCTTCGGATTTTTAGAATATGTCCAAAACGTTTTAAGAGTTTTATCTATTGATGTTTTAGATTCCTATGCTGGTATAGTGATTTACACTTTAGAATCGAATCGGCTATGTCCCTGTGTCCTAGGCGCACCTAATGGAATGTTCTGTTTGATTTTTTGGCTTTCCACCCAGATGCTCTTTTATACGGGCGCAGAGCAGTCTACCAGTTCTGTGACTTGTTCATCCTTGCATGCTTTGCAAATCGAATAAACAGTACCCAAACCCATGCAATCATTGTCTATACCGTTAGGACCAATTATGCAATTGGGCGTTATGAATAAATGGTCACGCAAACGGTTACGAGCTAGCTGCCGTCTTAGAATGTTCGGTGGTATTTCAGTCACTGATGTCGATTTCTCTTAACATGCCTCTCTTGGTTAATGCTTCATAGCTGTCTTTACTTGGCTAGAGGTAGGTTTTAGAAAGGGTAGGTTAAGCGAGACCTGAATCTTCCTTCTTTTCCTTTCATGTGCACACTTTGGTGGCTGCTTGAAACATGTTTCGCCATCTAGTTCAGCCCGTTTGTCTGATAGTCTACGAGGAACGCAGAGTTGCATAATGTGCCCTAACGGTCGAGATGGTGATTGCATGAATTTGGGTACGATGCACTCAATCTATTGTAAAGCATGTGGGGGCGAAAACGTTGGCGAAATGGGTAAAACACTCTGCGTTCGTATAAAAGAGCTCCTATTCGGGAAACTTAAGAATAGACACGAAGCAATAGCGGATAAATGAAGCTCTCTGCCTTGATCCATCCCTAAAGGATGAGCGAAGCATTTGACTTCATTAAGCATCGTTACAGGCTATTGAATGTATATCTAGCCTATAAAATGACTCGTGGTAGCCTACCCAGTCATGCATCGGGTCGGTGCTGCTATCCCCCCCCCCCCCCAACTGGCTGGTACCATAACCGGTATCGGCCGATAAGATTTTGAAATGGAAGACACTACATGTTCATAGCTATCTAAAAAATCAGCGCGCAAAACTCTTGAAGCGTTTTGGATAAATTCCAAAAGTCCAGAAAAGGATCGCAATGTGGAGTGTCTTGTGACCGCGTTTAACCTCGGACCGCACTTCCACCTCATACCCAAGATGCGAAAGAATTCCACATTTCTATCTAAAAAGGTTAGGCAAGAGGAAAACCAATGCCACGAATCTGTACAGATATTCAAGAAACGTCGCAGTGTGGCACGCTCCACCTATGATCAAGAACGACCAGTGAGTGCTTGTAGTGAGAACCTGGGAATGTCTTGGGCAGGTTATCTCTCGTCTTTAAAAGAAAAATCGTTTCCGAACGTTGATCAATTTGACACCATTTAAGTGAAAATTCTGCTGAGACATACGGAATTCTTCATGAAGACGAGTCGTTCAATTATGAAGGAAACTTTGTATCAGATTTTCACTTCTCACGACTATTGAGAGAAAGGTGAATTTTTCAGCTCCTACTCTACTGTGCTTTCAAATTTTTTAAATATTTAAAGAATAAACTGAAAGAAAAATGGAGCACTAAATTTATATACAACGATAATAATAATACAACAGATGTATAAAGTCATGTGAAGCTTTGGAAGTAGGGATCCCCTCATTTTATTTTTCACCATAATATTTACATCAACTGGTTGAAATTAGATCAATGAAGAGGAGCAAAAGGAAAAGGGAAGCAAGGAGAAGTGAAGGAAGAAAAAGTAAGCTTGACTGCTAAAGTAGTAAAACAAGTAGAAGACGACGAAGATAGAATTCTGTCGTAGAATTTGATTAGGAACCGAGAAAATTCGACGTGTCGAACGATGCGGTGAAGGTATCGAGCTTTTAATGAAATGCATTTCCCATTGAAATGTATAGCTCCAAGAAAAATTATAGTTATGCAGCTATCCGTATGAATTTAAAATGTTGCCGAATAAACTTTTACAAAACACAAAAGTGGTTCCAAATGAAGTGCATGAATAACTTAGCAGAACCGCCTTTACAGTAATTCTCTACAAAATTTTTCATTAAATTAACGATTAGGAATGTTTTTCTTTCTCCTGAATATGGCTAGGCATCACTATGACGTCATTTCTTCATTTTCTAGGATACACTAAGGTTTATGCCAAGGCGTAGCCCTACGTTCGCCTATTGAGCATTGTGGATCCGAAGGAGTTCCATAATCTTCCGACTAGGTCACCATCATGATGGCGGCGATATATGGCATTGGTTTAATCTAAGCTCAGCTTCCAAATAAAAATAAAAAAGCTTTCGGCATTGATCAATCCCTGAGGGATGCGCCATGCATTCGACTTTATTAAGTATCGCTGGAGGTCACTGAATGCATATCTGGCCTTTACAAGGACTCGTGGTCGCCTACCGATGTATCGAGCCAGTGCTGTTATCCTCCCAGACAAGTTTGGTAACAACTTGCCAACCCCGGAGGCATGGAAAGTTTGGTGAGTCATGGGCGCTGAGATCGATTCCACGTGTGTGTCGCAGTGGCGCCTCCAACCACTAGCTTCCGAATAGGAATATGGAATTCCTTTTCACTTTGGGTGTCCATGCAGTGGAAAAAACTAAAACCTACTATCAGAGCCCATCGAAGTACACCACCACCTTGCCATTATTAGGAAAATCTTGAATAGATTAATAAAATAGAAAAAAAAGATAGCGAGAAGTTTTTCAAAAACCATATACTTCAAAAAAACAAATCCATTTCCTTAAAACTTCTTTTTGTTTTGATAAGGAAAAATCACGTAACTGCCTTCTTAGGGTGTAACGAGCACAACTGCCACGAAGGTTTCGCGAATAAAAAATTCTCAATCTTAGGCTTCCTTCTCAACAACAACGTAAAAACTGCTCTAAAAAGCAGTTTTATAGTAAAATTTGAAGCAGAATCGAAACTGATTTGTTTTTTGCTTTGGGTAACAATTTTTAAGTACGATTTAATCAACGTAGTCCTCGTTCATGGCATTTTGCTAAGCGGAAAAAGCGCACGAACCTAACCGAACCGGCCTAAATGGATGTCGGTTGAACGACGACAGAAGGAGGAGAAAAAATCATTTGTATCGGCCAAAATATATGAAACAATGGAGATGGTATTTAGACAACTCAATGAAGAAAAATGAAGAGAAAGAAAACAATGAAACGACTTGTTCGTGTTCATAGCGATTGCAGCACAAGATAAGAACCGGGAAGAAAATCAATTCAAATGGAAGTTCTTTTTGTTAGGAAGAGAGTTTTTCTTAGAATCCGTCATCAACGGTGGATTATGGACGATTAGTAGCCAGCGGCATTTGTTGTGTCAGAAAAATGTCCCAGTGGTAATTTATGATCGCGCCGGAGTCAATTAGTTTCGACACGAGCCCACCAGTAGCTGGCAGTTCAGCTTCAGAATACTATTACATCTCACCATAATGAGAACCTACCACAAAAGCCCGGAAATGTTTTCCATCACCCCGATAGAAAAACACCTGCAGTGGCATTCTGATATGGGATATCGTGTAAGAAAAGCGCCACCGTCTAAAGGTTTTTGAACTTTCAGCCAAAATATCTCGCTGTAATAATGCATCACAGCAATTAAAAGAAACAGTACAAATAGTAGGAAGATGAGAAATGGCGACGGAAAAGGCACAATAGTAAAAATAGCGCCACGACGATTTTTATTCTGATCAGTCTCAATAAGGTAACCTCATCGCATGAATAGGAAGCCTTGTCCGATAGAAGCATAGGATATGCGTATACCTCATAGGATATGGGTTCGCCGCTGAAATGAGGTGGAACCTCATGCCATTGTATTACACAGCTCAGGATGAATTATTTATTGTAATAACATTAGTGTTCACGAAGTTGTTTCGCTACTAATAAGCGAAATACCTGACTACATGATAACTGTTTTTATGAGTATATATAAAAGATAAAACACAAAGAAGTGTTTCTCTTTGACCAATCCCTTGGATAAAAGCCATATATCCGACTCCGTTCGGGTGGTTAGTGCAGTACACCAGAGAGCAATATGCTGGTTCGACCCGACACGAGTCGTATTCCGTGGCATTCATAAAGAAAAATGTTCAAGCAACAGCTGAACCTGCGCGCGGAAAAATTTTGAAGACCACAGTGGATGATGGATGCGAGGAAACGAATCGAATGCAAGAAATGTTGAGATCGGCATAGTAGATGTGATGATGGATCACGTAAAAAAATATTCAACTCCATTTGTGGTACCACAGAAGTGACTGCAAGCAATTTAACTTATACAATCAGTGACCGGCGAAGGCTTACAGTTTGTCATTTCAGTGTTTTATCCTCCAAGATTACTCCGCTACAAATTTGTCGACTTCGCAGAGATGGAGGAATTAATGACCTCGGAGTGTTGGGTCGAACTATTGACCTTGAGTATATTGCAGACGATGTCTGACCACTGGCTTTCCCCACACCCTTATCATCTGTTGGTCGTTTATAAGCATCAAAAGCTTCTTCTAATGAGCGACGTATTTTTTACCAGTAAAGATATGATATTCAGATTGGAGAAGTCAGCTACAGGAAATCATTGCGCTTAAGTTATCCGTGGGTTTGAGATTGAATTGATTCTTTTCATTTTTTCATTCCCATATTTCAGGATGAAATCAGATGGAAGACTTTTGAAAAAGAGAATGAGTAAGATAAAACGAGTTAAATGATAGAAACAACAAAGTCAAACTTCACATTGAACTAAAATTATTTTAAAAAACTATTTTGGAAATAAAAATTGCGAATCCATGAGAAATTAGAACAGCATTAACATCTAGGCTTAAAGAGGTTATGGAGAAAGAGCATAGAGCTGCCACAAAGCATTATACTAACTATAACGTAAATCATAGAGACCGGTTAGTTAAAAATCGACATCATTCTGCTTGTCGATTCCACAAAGCTTTAAGAAACTTTTGTTTATCCCTTAAGTCTTGGTGGAAGTCTCAAATGGCTTAAAGAAAAATACAACGACTATCCGGTGAGGTTGTAGACACCTTATTATGTAAAAACATTCCAAGAAAATTTCCGTTAGTAATCTAACAAATCGCAATGTCACGACTTTAAAAAGCGATAAGGGCATTAATGATTATCAAGTTAGCTCATTGTAATCTAAAAAATACTTTTCACAATAAATCTATATATATTATTTGGTAAACATCATGGTGCTAGTTCGATTCCACTCCGGGCCAACCAAGCCTCTCATCCCTTCGGGGTAACTGGTACCGGATTCGTCTGGGAAAAAATCACTCTCTGTAATTCAATTCGAAACGCTCCAGCCCGGCTATCTCAGGACTCCAGAGTGCTCAGTCAGCACTCTACGAGATTCAAGGCGAAATGGATATCCTCAAACAGTAACCGAAGCCACACGTAAAAGTTGAAAAATCTTCATGGACAATGGATGAAGGAAACGGATCGAATGTGAGAAGTGCTGGATTCCACACAGTAGACGTAAATACGGGTCATATAAAATGAAATAAAAAAATAGTTGCTAAAATAAAACAGAGAAAGGATAGCAGAACGCCAGATTTTTAATTGTGAGTGAAAAACTTAGTGCGGTATGAAAATGTTATTGTGAGTTCTAGGAGGCATTCTGAAGTCGTAAACTGCTCATATAGCCTTTTCCGACGCACACCGCTAAAATTCCACGGGCCCATCGATTCCCCTTAAGTTCTGAAACCTCAAAGATGTTACTTCTTTCATTCCTGCTAAAACATATTTCCTCAGTTATAACGATATATGAAAGGAGAATAAAAGCTTTTCCTTCGTAAAATCTTTTTTTTTCCTTCTGTAAAAAGGGCTAGTGCAACAAAAGAATAACGTTCAATAGTACGATGAAACCAAAACAAACACGTATTGATCAGGAAATGATGACGATGTAGCCATTTTCTCACGTCATGCTGTCACGATATGTACGAGAAATCATCGAACAGCCATTTCTGACAACGACGATGTTCATCGGTGCTTATATGAAACGATGTCGACGTCCATTCATCAACACGCCTCAAGCAAATTCACACGATGACATCGTTAAGTCGGATGATGAATCCAACAAGCGAACCGAATCAAAAAGAGAACATAATCCGTTGCATCGGTCTTCCGCACTGAAGAGGCGAATCACTGCCGCGTCATCGGCGAGCAGCCCACGTCCATCCGTCGACGTCTTCCGCCGCTCGAAGTATCCTATCCGTCTTTTCTTCGACATCAAAAACAACGCCTCTGGAGAGTTCAACTCCCTTCAAGATGACAATGCTGACGAATTCAAGTGCGCTTTAGGGAAAATTGTCAAAAAAGAATTGTAAATGATCACTTAGCATAAACCACTGTTCTTTCCAGGATACGAACAACCTCGGCATAAACGCTTTTTTTATCATTCTGGGTTTCACACGGTATACCTGAAAGTGGCTTCGAAATTAATGAATAGTTCTTTCTTATCTTCGCAAGATATTTTTACCAAGTGACTTGGTGTGATAATTTCGGTGAGAAGCAACGCTGTAATACGATTCCACAGATGGCAATAAACTAAAAAAAAAAGGTCAATATGCTAAGAAACGGAAATCTATCAATACATCTTTAGATACAACAATACATAAAGATATTGGCGAATGTAATAAACCCAATAATATGAATGCCTTCCATTATAAAACTGAAACGAAGCGTACATTTACTGGTCTTCCATCATCTTCTCTTCCCCACCCACAAATAGTTGTTCCAATACGTAGTCGCGAGCAGTGCATTTTTCTAAATATTCGGCTATGATCAACACTAGAGGACTTACTCAATCAGCGGGACCACACAAGGTGATAGGAAGTCCGGTGTTTGCATTCGGTAGTCCAACTATGAGTGAGTCAACACCACGGTTTAGCTCGTTAAGCCATCGGTGCTTGTCTGTTCTCTCCAAAGATGGCGAAAATGATGAATTCATCCCACAAACATGAGAATCTCCGGGTTCTTCACCAGAAAATGCTTATTCAACAGCTTCAACGCTCGACTAAGATAATTGCAACTTAACTGGTACCTGCTTAAGTGAGCAGCAACCAATGGAATCATGGATGCTACACTTGATGCAAACTTAACAAAATACTAAGGGAATCATTTTTAAAGCTAAACAAAATTGATAAAAATATTTAAAACCTTTCTTGACAACATCCAGCCACGCTTGTCCCAATGGTTCATGTCTGGTGCTTTATTATGAGGGGTTATTTTGCTGCAATACTCTAATCAATCTTTGATGTACTACAAAAGGTTCGGTTTACGTTTCGTTCACAAATTGTAACAAATCCGAAACTATGTTATTTTCCACGAATACCTTCCTTTATATTTTTTTTGGAAACACGCCCTAAATCGGCTACCTCACATTCCAGAAAGAGTCGACTCGATAAGCATTCAACGACAGTAATAAGGAAGACGACAATCCTTAAGCAGCAGCCGGACTCACACGACAGGTTCGATTATCTTTGTTGATGATGGATGCGATAAAACGAATCGATGGCATGAAATGCTGGGATTCACACAATAAGTGCAAAGACGACTTGGAAAAAATGAGTACAAGAAGTTTTCTTCTCCACCTTTTTGAAAAACTTCTTCATGCGCATACTATCTTGGTATTGCAGTTTAACCGTAGCCCGAAAATCCGGCTCTCGAGTCCGTTGTAAAGAACACCGACAATATAAAAAATTAACTCCTAAACTTATATGGTCTCAAACATCCGACAATGCGATAAAACAATGATAAGCCTTGGTTGGAAGTCGAACCGTTTCGCTACTAGCAAAACTTTTTTCTGACAACTTAGCATTATTAGTATTACATACAATTTTTCACTATTGTTACCAAGAGTAATAGAACTAGCTGAGAGAAACGCAGAGTTAGGGTCTCCGTGGCGCAGTGTGTAATCTGCAAGCCCACGGAAAGGGAAATCGTAGTTTGATCTGGCCCGGGGTCTAAGTTTTGCGAATGTCTCAGCACGGAAAAATCCTTCAGGGACTGATTAATGTCGAGAGTTTTATCCTTTTACCCTTTATATGTATATATGAGGCGGATAGCACCGTGGTAGTGATGCTGGGTATCGATGTGGTTGATTTCGCACAATAATAGAACTGTTATTATTGTTGGTGATTACTGAACACCAGAAAACCGAAGGTGATTTGCATCTTTCTCTGTTCCTCCTAACTTTCTCTACAATTTTTTTCTTTTATTGCATTTTGTGTGTCAAATTATTATACTTTGTCAAATCACAGCGTCATCGAAAATTCAGTGACAAAACTGAAAAAGTAATTTGATTTTGAACGAAAGAGAACTTAAAGCTGTTCAGAGTGAAACTTTTTTTAAGAAGTCAATGATTGTTACATACAGAATTTCGCCCCTTTTGCCGTCATTTTATTTCCTTTCTTAGAAATTATTACGGTATTGTAAGTTTTTTATTTTCTGCCTTTTACAGTTTTTTACGGCATATGTGATACAACCACAATGATGCTAAGATATATGAAAAACTTCGGACCGCAGGTGCCTGCGGTGGAGAACGAACGCGCTATTGTTCCTTCCGGGGAGTAAAGCGTTCACCACCACCATGCGGATCCTTCGCTTCGCCTGCCTCTCAACCACTTGACGAGTGATTGCTGGTAGCACTGGTCGATAAATAACTAGCTGAGAGACAGTCGAAACGAAGGATCAGCATGGTGTGGTGGTGTACGCGTTAGCCTCCGGAAAGTGTAACAGCGCGTTCGTTCCCATCGCAGACACTTGCGGTCCCGAGTTTTGCAAAGACCTCAGAATCATTGTGGCTGCATTACGGTATTTTCAAGAAAGTCTAAACAGACGTGTTCTATGAATTGGGACATAGAGGAAGACTAATTAGCGAAGAGCGAAACATAGCCAAAAATAAAGGGCGATAAAAGATAAAAGCAGAGCCGCCCGTTACTCAAAGAATGCTGCTCCCTGCCACTGTGGATCGCAAGGAAATTTACTACTTGATGACTAGAATTCCTCCAAGACGGTAGTCGTTGCTCCGAAAAAGGTTTCTGCACATAATTAATTACTTACTAATCAGTGGATGATCACTTAGCAAAACGAAGATTCTCTTCGATACGACAATGAAGACCCCACATCGAAAAGACTAACTACCGTGGACATCGGTTCGGGTTGTCGGCACTGAAGAAGACGAAGAGGTTAAAACGTTAGCCGAATAAAACTTATGCAACCTCTTGCAAGCCGAAAAATTCAAGAAAATAATTTTTGTAATTTAGAATGGCAGTGAAAACTATGTTCAAAAAACGAGTTCAAATGACAACGCAAAGTAATGTCTATAGGCTTAGCATTAGGTGGTACGTCGCAAATCAGCAGTTCAAATGATAAAGCTTATTAGAACTGGAAAGTCTTGTGTCTGTTCATAAATTCGATTTCTTAATAAAAGATTTTCCACTCCGACAAGAGAGTTGGTAACATTGTGGTGATTATTTTATTTATACGCGAAACCATCATCATTTTTGCGGCCTACTTCGCATCAGTTAGTTTTTGAATCATCTACAATGGAATTTTAGATTAAATTTCCTTCAAAGTACTGGCATTCACGTTTGCTGTTAATCGTTTGTTGCTCCTTACCATATTCCTATTAATATCACAACATATATCTCATTTATTGGGACCTTGGAGTAGCAGAAGTTATAGGTGTCCTGCCAGACACACATCCAACACCGTACTCCAGGCCAACCAAGCCCTAATCCATTGGGGTCAAGAAATTGCCACCAGAGGTATCACTCCCGGTGAAAAAGAATACCAAAAATAAATTGGTTTTTAAAATTTATTATATAGGTTGAATACGCGTTCTATTGTTCTTAAGATATGGAGTTGAACTGATGGCGCACCGCTAGCGGTAGTCATTAAACACTTATCCTTTATCCATTATCACATTCTGTCCACAATGATTTGCCACATCGCCGTTGTTGCGAGTCGTTCCTGGGTCTCGAACTGCGATGTACAAACGGGTTTTCATCTCCACACAGCGCATTCAAGTTGTGGAGTCCAGTGTCACCTCTCAAAAGTCCCGCGAATACTAAACCTTTACCAAAGCGAAAGTTGATGAACTACTTGTGATGACCTTTTTCATTCCTCCACGAGGACAGAAAAGATAACGGAACAAAAAGAGAACAGAACAATGATGATGGACACGAACATTTAATTGGTCATCTCCATCACAATTAATCCTCTTAGTCTTAACTCTTTTATTTACTGCCTTTTTCTTCTTAATGGCAGGGTATGCTGTGAAATATAACTCGTATGAAGTGCTGAGATATCTGCAAAACTCCGGACCACAGGTGTATGCAGTGGAGAACGAACACGCGCTGTTGCCCTTACCGGGGAGCAGCGCACTTCACCACTACACCATCCGGGTCTCCTCGGGGTCTCTCCTCGGGATCTCCTCCTCCGGGTATAATCCTCTTAGTGTTTCAATGGTTCGATCTGACACAGCGAAGGTTCGTGTCTTTGGCCTTTATTCAATAAGATCAATTCGTTAAAAGTACACGAACCGCATAATAATTCATGTATGCGGCTCTCTAATTTTACTGGCTTTGTCAAAAAGACATTCTTCGGAAGCCTTTGGGTTTACTAATTTAGGAGATGTTTGACCTACTCACTAAGAATTTCTACGCAAAACGCTGTTAATTACATCATACACTTCTCAAATTCCACTGCGTCTTCATAGAAGAAACTATGCTTTAAAATATGTATTCACTCTTTAATGAGCTTACACGAGGTTTAAAAATATATTTATCTTCGGCTAAGGTTAGACGTCTTCGTCTCCATCAAAGCCGATGATCCGAGTCGATAGTCCACGCTTGTTATTCGTCACGATGTGGCGGCTTCGCCTTCGTGTTCAGTAAGGTCTTCCTCAGCGGGCCATCTCCTCGAATGAGGCATACTCATTGCCCTTTTATGCAGGTTGCTGATGGTGGATAGCTGTGATTGTCCGGTGATAGTGTGATAGTAACTTGTTTTACCGCACAATCAAACCTGCAGAAGTCGGTGTTATTATCAACTAGCACAAAGCGTAGTAAGATTTCGAAACCAACTTTCCTTGAACCTATGAAATATGAATGAAATGAGAAACATGCTTTAAAATGTCTTCACTTCTGAAACCTCGTAAAATACGTCGTCCAGTGCTCTGTGAATACAATCACAATAGCCCTCAACCCAGTTTTTGTTCTGGAGCTTGTGAAGTGTTCCAAAATGTTGATTTACCCGATCGATCATTTTGTTTCAAGTTATCTACTCGCCATTATTATCATTTCAGAAGAGCAGGACGGAT